TATCTTTGGTAATGGGACTGTTTGTTTTTTCTTTTCGGCACCTTTGAGTTCCTTGTAGATCCTAGATGTTAGGCCTTTGTCAGACATACAGTCGGCAAATATTTTTTCCCAGTCTGTGGGCTGTCTCCCTACTCTCTTGATAGTTTCTTTTTTTGCAGAAACTTGTCAGTTTGATGAGGTCCCACTTGTCTATCTTATCTCTTATGGCACGGGCACTTGAGGTTTTGATCAGGAATTAGTTGCCAGTTCCAATTTCCATAAGGGTGTCTCCTGCATTTTCTAAGGTTCTTATAATTTGAGGTTTTATATTTATGTCTCTCATCCATTTAGAGTTGATTTTTGTGTATGGTGATAAGTAGGGATCTTGTTTTAATATTCTGCATGTGGTCAGCCAGTTTTCCCAGTACCATTTACTGGACAGATTCTCCTCTCCCCAGTCGTTGGTGGTGGAGGCGTTGTTGAAGATGAGTTGCTTGAGAAATTGAGGTTTTGCTTCTGGAATCTCTATCCTGTTCCATTGGTCTATATGCCTGTTCTTGTACCAATACCAGGCTGTTTTGATTGCTGTCACTTTATAATAGAGTTTAAAGTCTAGAAGTGTGATACCTCTAGTAAGCTGCTACCATTTTCTTTATGGTAGTGTATGGTTTCATAATATATGAGGGAGGAGCTCAAAAAAAGAAATTTATTTATAAAAATTGTGTATTTTTTCTTACCTGTCTAAACTTTAGCCACCTTCAAAATACTTGTCATTTGATGCAATACACCTCTATTACTGTTCAAACAGTTTTTGAACTCATAAATTTTGGTGCCTTTTCTTATTTCACCTCTTCTACGTTGACAAGATGTTTCCCTTGGAGGACTTTTTTCATGTGAGCAAACAAAGGAAGTCACTGGGAGGGCAGGGCACAAGGGTCTTGCTGTTTTTGGTCAAAAACTGCTGAACACTCAGCTTGGTGTGAGCAGGTGAACTTGTAAATCGCCCGTCATTAAATGGGCAAACCTGTTGAAAGAATCTCCAAAAATAAAAATGAGCTGAAGCCGAACACATCCTCTCACAACAACACTAACTGGTCCACTGTTGCCAAGGGGTTCCTAGAACACCCGCTCAGTGGAGAAACCTGTATTACAAGTGGCCCACCCGCCAAAAGATAATTCCAGGTTTTTTGGGGTCCCCCTTCTTATGTCTACATGGCTGTAGTGTCTTGTTTAGACACTTACTTCAGCCCCCTCCCTTGCTCCGTATAGTAAATTAATCACACAGACTTTCTAGAACTGTTGAGTGTTTTGTTAAACATTGATGCAGCTGGCACCCAGCTCCGCCCTTCCTACCTGAGCTTGGGTTGGCACTTAAGGAAACTAAAACTTGTGTGGCAGGAGATCCAAGGGCACACATTTAAATGTCAAACATGCCTGATGTCAACCCTCAGTTCCACCATTCATGGTCCCCCAGGATCTCAGACATGTTCCCTCCTAAAACCTCATATGTAGAAGGTAGAGTGGGGGAGGTAACAGAAGTTTCTTAGTACTGGAAAAAGTACTTGCCCAGGGATTTTCTCTTCAAGTGGACTTAACATAAAATAGTGGCCAGGCACAGTGGCTCACGCCTATAATCCCAGGACTTTGGGAGGCTAAGGCAGAAGGATTGGTTGAGTCCAGGGAGGTCAATGTTGCAGTGAGCTGTGATCATGCCAGTGCACTCCAGCCTGGGAGGCAGAATGAGACTCCACCGCAAAATTCTTACAAGATCCATCGCACAGTATATACCCAATAAATGTTAGCTCATTCAGTTGTCTCTTGTCAAGATCCTCTATACCCCCAAAAAATTCAGCCTGGGATTTCCATTGTATTTGTGTCTAGTATAATTTAGAGAGATTGCTAACTCTACTATAATGAGTCTTCCCATCCAAAAACAAAGCTTCTTCATCTCTCTATTTATGTCTTCCTTTTTTTCTTCCCTTTGGTGGAATTTTATGTATCTCTTCCAAAAAAGGGGAGCTGCTGCCTGTATTGTTTGGGGACCTGCTTTTTTTTCCCCTTCCACTTAATATTTTGTGAAAATATTTTTACAGTAATGCATGGGTTTTGTTTGTTTTGAGTTGGAGTCTCACTCTGTTGCCCAGGCAGGAGTGCATTGGCATGCTCACAGCCACCCCAGAGTCAATCTCCTGGGCTCTGGTAATCCTTCCACCTCAACCTTCCAAGTAGCTGGAACTACAGACACATGCTACCACGCCCAGCTAATTTTTGATTTATTGTAGAGACAAGGTTTCGCCAAGTTGCCAGACGGGTCTTGAACCCTTGGGCTCAGGCAATCCACTCACCTTGGCCTCCCAAAGTGCTGGGATGACAGGCTGAGCCACTGAGCCTGGCCATGCATTTTATATGGCTGTATATAAAATTATCTGAAAGTTGTCTATTATCTCATAACAAATTACTTCAACATATTACAGTTTAAAACAATAAACATTTATCATCTCTCACATTTTCTGTGGGTCCAGAATATGGGAGCAGCTGAGCTGAGGGGCTCTGGCTTTGAGTCTCTCATGAGGTTACACTGAAGATGTTGGCCATGGCTGTGGTCTCATCTGAAGACTTGACTGGGGCTGGAGGATCCACTTCAAGGATCCACTTCAAGGTGGTGCACTCACAGCAGTAGCTCAAGTATTGGTCATTGGCAAGAGGTCTCAGTTCCTTGCCATGTGGTCCTCTCCCTATAGGGCTGCTTAAATGTTCCCATGACATGGCAGCTGGCTTCCCCCAGAGTGAGTGTTCCAAGAGAGAAAAAGATGGCAGCCTCAGTGCCTTTCATAACCTAGTGTCAGAAGTCACATGTCATATCTGTGATATCCTAGTGGCTACACACGGGACTCCATAGAGCATGAATACTAGGAGATGGGGATCACTGAGGGTCATCTAAAAGGGCCATGATATGCATGTGCCCAAATTTACCTAACCAATTCCTTCTATGAGACATTTAAACATTCCATCTGAAAGTTGAGAGTCTGAAGTCCAGCAAGGGTCAGTGTGTTGACTATGGGCACACGGTGACTTAGAGGCAGAGTCGGGCTAGCCCAAGATCTGTGAGTACATTCATTGCTGAGGCTAGAGGACATTGGGATCTGGCAATCGGGATAAATTAGGAGCTATGTAGAGGAAGGGAGGCTTCATCCAGCTCCACGTGGGAGCAAAGATCCCTCAGCTGCCTGGTTGTGGGTGTCCATTGACCCATCCAGCAAGATGCTCCAGACTTTGACCCTGCACTTCAGTCCTGGCTGGTGGGCAGAGCTCTAGAATTTGCATCTGCAGAACACTATTCACTGCACACAGGGGCACATCCAGACGGTAACCTCCCAGGCTGGAAAGGCCAGCAACCTGTGCATGGGCCTTGGAGTCTAGTCTACCTGGGTTCAGAGCCTCAGTTTCTGCAGCCAAGGAAATGATAATATCAGATGTGTTCATTTCCTGTGGCTGCCATAACAAAGTGCCGCAAACCGGGTGGCTTGGACATCAGACATTTCCTCTCTCACAGTCTGGAAGCTAGAAGTCTGAAATCAAGCTGTTAGCAGGGTCAGCTCCTCTTGAGGGCTGTGAGAACCTGTTTCTTACTCCTCTCTCCTAGTTTCTGGTCATTCGCTGACAATCATGGGTGGCCCCTGGCTCATGATAACGTAGCTCCAAACTTCACAAGGTATTTTCCCTGTGTCTAAATGTCCCCTTTTCATAAGGACACAGTCATATTGGAATAGGACACGCCCTAATGACTTCATCTTCACTTGATCATCTGCAAAGACCTTATATCCAAATAAGTTTCCATTCACAGGGCCTAGTGGGTCAGAACGTTAACATCTTTTGTGGGGACACAATTCAACCCATTATATTAGATACTATTAATAAACAGAAGAGCTGGGTATGATGACTCATGCCTGTAATCTCAGTACCTTGGGAGGCTGAGGCAAGGATTGTCTGAGCCCAGGAGTTCAAGACCAACCTGGGCAACATGGCGAGACCTCATATCTACAATAAATAAATTTTTTTAAATTAGCTGGGCGTGGTGGCATGCATCTGTAGTTCCAGCTGTTTGGAAGGCTGAGGTGGAAGAATCGCCTAAGCCCAGCAGGTGGAGGCTGAGGTGGCTGTGAGTGTGCCACTACACTCCAACCTAGGCGACAGAGTGAGAGATTACAGACATGAGCAGCCATGCCCAACAGCATTTTTTATTATTAAAGAAAAAAAAAAGACTATGCACTGAGTATTTTGCATGCGTTTTCCCATTACATCCTCACATTTTTATTTAATGGTACTGTAGGATGGCGGAGACTTGGATCGTCAAATCTCACCCAAAGAATGCCTTACTCGGGGCTGGCTGGTCCCTCTCCCTGGACTTCAGTCTCCCCATCTGTACAGTGAGGTGCTGCACATCTCTGGGCTCTCACAATCATGGCTCCAGGTCTCCCGTGGCAGAGGAAGGGTCTAGGGTTCTGCCACTCAAGTCTTTGGGGTAAAGGAGGAAAGAGCCTCTTGTCTTCAGGGCCCAGACAAGCATCACCTCCAGTCTCTCCTTGGCCTCATCTACCCAGCATCCCAGGATGGCACCGTGCTGGCTGGCTGACCCTGAGAGCGCCTGTCCAGTGCCTCTGGCTTCTCCTCAGGGGCCGCCAGGCTGACCACCCCCCCAACAGGCTTGGCCCATGGTGGCCCAGGGAAAGACCCAGCCCTCCCCCAGGATGGCAGCAGGAAAAAGGAAGAAAGGGGATCGTCTCCAGCTGGCCAGAAAGACAGACCTTCTTGTACCCATCGGCCCTCCAAGAACGTCCACCCGCCCGCCCTCCCTCCCTCTCTGGAGTCCTGTCCACAGGGGCTTGGATCAGCCAGAAAAGTCAGGCAACTTTTCAGGGCCTGGGCGCGAGGGGAGACGAGGTCTCTGGCCCAGGTCCAGACCCTGTGACCGGCGCAGTCCTGAGCCCCACCCCTTGAGCTGCTCCCTGTCCCAGCTCCAGACTTTGACCCTGCACTTCAGTCCTGGCTGGTGGGCAGAGGGCTGAAGACAAGACAACCCCAGAACCAGGGGCCTCCCCTCCCTCAGAAAATAGGATCCTACGCCTCCAGCAGCAGTCTGGTCTCTCCACAGTTCAGCACCTCTGGTGAGTGGCAGCACACCTTTGAGCTGAGGGTGGGGGCTGGGAGGCAGAAGGAATTACTATACTTCCAATGGCAACAGATAGGACTCAGCATTACAGCCTGAGGCAGGTGGTAGAAAAAGGCAGACCGGGTCAGATGCAGTGGCTCACACCTATAATCTCAGCACTTTGGGAGACTGAGGCGAGAGGATTGCCTGAGCCCGGCAGTTCGAGAACAGCCCGGGCAACTTGATGAGACCTCATCTCTACAATTAAAAAAAAATTAGCTGCGCATGGTGGTGCATGCCTGTAGTTCCAGCCACTTGGAAGGCTGAGGCGGAAAGATCACCGGAGCCCAGCAGGTCGAGGCTGCAGTGGCTGAGAGCATGCCACTGCCCTCCAGCCTGGGGGACAGAGTGAGACTTCAACTCAAAAAAAAAAAGGGCAGACCCAATCTTGGGCAAACATCCAGCTGAGAGATGAAACTAGCCTTGGAGTCAGACAGGGACCACAGGTAAGTGACTTCCCCTCTCCAAGCCTCAGTTTCCTCATCTGGAACACAGGAATCATAACTCACCTCTTACGGAGTTGAGTTCGAGGATTAAAGGAGATGGTGAATGCAAAGTGCTTAGTACAGAACTGGACACACAGCAAGTACTCTAATGGCAGTTATTAGGGGTTTATTGGCGGAGAGTTAGTAGCCTTCAGTTTTTATAGTTTCTGTTCCATTTTAAGAGTGCACTCTGAAAACAACAACTTCATTAGAAGTAGCCACGCAGTGCCACCAGGAGGAACTGACTGTGTTCATTAAAATTCCCCTTCAGTGATTTGCTGATTTTTTTAGAAGAAGTCTTTCATATTCTTTGCTATGAGCATGGAGCATTCAACGGCACTGTCCACCTCGGATTGTTTTCGAGGGGACAAGGGAGGTCAGAAGCAAATAAGCACAAGACTGAAAGACAAGCAGCAAGTGTCGTGAGCCAGCTTATTCTGGCTGTCTGAGTATTTTTACAGTGCAGGGCAGGAGGCTCAGCTAGAGCTGGGTCTAGATTCGGGTGCCACCCCCGTACCGACCATGTAACCTTGGGTGAGGGAATTCCCCTCCCTGACCTTCAGCCCCAGCCTCTAGAATGAGGATCATAACCAGCCCTACCTCCCAGACAGTCGAGAGGATTGAGAGGCTGGTGTCTGTACCACATTCACATGTGTCTGGCAAGTGGCAGAGGCCAAAATACGTGGGTTCCTTTCCTGCTCCAGGTTTGCATTGACATTATAATCACACACATAAATAGAATGACCCCAGCTGGGTGCATCTTCCGGGAGGCATACTCCAGTCGTGCCTGTTGGCAGTCATGGCATAACGCAGAGAAGATCTGCAATGCGAATAAAAACATCAGCTCCAGCGAGAAAACATCTGACTAAACAGCTGAGCTCTGTGCATTTGAGTCCAGAAGTTTATTATCCACATGCATGAGTGATTTCACCTGGGGCTGTGTCTGTCGGAACCGACAATCTAGCTCCTACTTCCCATGAGGACTTCATGTATTTATATAACACTTTAACACACACACACACACACACACACACACACACACACACACACACAGAGTTACTATAACCCATGTCAAATTTGATTCATAGGGTGGCTTTTTTAAAAAAATGATAATTGACTTAGGACTCACATCTTCCCTTTTCAATTCCATTCCCACAAATTCCTATAAACACTGCATTTTATTTTATTTTTTAAGTGCAGGACTCTGAAACATGGGCCATTTCTCGTCACCTGCTTGGCCTTCGCGGTTTTCAAATCGTGTGATTTGCCAGCAAAGCCTCATGTTTACAGGTGGGCTAGGCTCTGCTTCTCACCCATGGGATGGCTTGGGCAACAGCCCTCACTTGGCTGAGCCTCAATTGCCTCAGCTGTAAGATGGGCGTAACAATAACCTTCAGGGGTTGCCATGAAGATTCTGCCAGATAGCACATGTAAAGTTTGTAGCACAATGACTCGCATGTGCCAGGAGCTAGGAGAATAGCAGCTGCTACTGGTGGCGTTGTTTTTGTCCATGTTGCCCATTCTTCTCCTGACTCAACCTCTTCCTGCCTTTCACAGAAATTTGTTTGACACCAAGACCCCTTCTTTTATCACAATCTCATGGTTTTGACTGAGTCACTCTTCTTCTCTGGGCCTCGGTTTCCCCATCTGTATAAAGATGCCTATTTCGATTTTGAAGTTTTACACACTGGAGAAACTGAGCCCTGTGCTATGCTGGACGTGTCCCTCTTTCTTTTGACGAGCTTGTTCTGGAAGTTGCTACCAGGCACAGCCTGGGTGTTGCTTTGGGTCTCCCTTTGTGCTGTTCTCTTTGGCACATGTTCCCCCCCAACCAGAGCCTTGGGCACGGGCCTGACCAGTCTCATTATCGAGACCCCCACAGGACAGCTCTGCTTCAGCCTGAAGCCTCTCTCTCTCTGTCCAGAAGCTTCCTTGGGTTTCCAAACTCCTCCTCTTCCACTGCATACATTCTTACTATATAAGCAGCTCCCTTTTTTCAGTCCTTTGCTGAGTTTCCAGGGGGTGTGAGGACAGAAAAAGCATGGGCTCTAAGAAAGGCAGCCCTGGGCTCAAACCCTGGCTCTTCCTCCAACTCCTGGTTATGATCGTGAATAATTCACTGCGCCTTCCTCAAGCCTCAGTCCCACCTCTGTCAACTGGGTCGATGATCCTCACTGCTAAGCTCCCAAGCATATTACAAGTATTTTCTCTTTTGATTCTCATAAGAATTCCATTCATTCATTCATTCATCCATCCATCTATCCATTCATTCTTTCCTCGAGTCCCTGCTATGTGCCAGCCACTATTTTGGCCCTGGGAATAGAGCAATGTAGCAGACAAAAGTCCCTTCCCTCCTGGAGCTGGTATTCTGGTGGGGAGACAACCAAGCAGGGAGTTTGGTCAGCCCTAAGAAGTTGATAGAAGAGGTAACTGAGGTTCAGTTAGGACTGACCAACTCATTCTGGCTGGGACTCCAGCCTGGGACGCTTGTGCACTGACTTCTAGCACTGAAAATCTGCATCCTGGGACCACCTTCAGACCGAGATACACGGGGAGGTTAGTCACCCTCTCTTAGTCAAGTTGAGCCACGTCCCAGGATCCCACAGCTGGTGTGTGCCGGGGCCGAGCTGTGAACCTGGGTTGGTCTGACTCAGCCGGGGCCATGCCACCTCCTGGATTTATCATGGGGAATTTGGAAAAGATAGAAAAACCTTATTTCTCTGCCTTCTTACTGTTGTTTTGTTTGTTTTTGTTTTTGTAGAGACGAGGTCTCACTATGTTGCCCAGACTGGTCTTGAACTCCTGGGCTCAAGTGATCCTCCCATCTCAGCCTCCCAAAGTGCTGGGATTACCGGCATGAGCTACTGCACCTGGCCTCTCTCTGCTTTTAATTACGTTTTGATTGATGGATTTGTTTCTTATCTTCTTTTTCTCTCTCTCTGTCTCTTTCTATTTCTCTCTCTCTCTCTCTCTCTCTCTCTCTCTCTTTCTCTTTCTCTGTCTTTGAGTTGGAGTCTCACTCCATTACTCAGGCTGGAGTGCAGTGGCACGCTCATGGCTACGTGTCAATCTGCTGGGATCAAGCGATCCTTCCGCCTCAGCCTTCCAAGTAGCCAGAACTACAGGCACACGCTACCATGCCCGGCTAAATTATTTTCGATTTATCGTAGAGATGAGGTCTCACCACGTTGCCCAGGCTGGTCTCTAGCCCTCAGGCTCAGGCAATCCTCTTGCCTTGCCTCCCAAAGTGCTGGGATTACATGCTTGAGCCACCACACCTGGCTCTCTTTCTTTCTCACAGTCTCTCACTCTATTGCCCAGGCTCAAGTGCAGTGTCATGGTCACAACTCACTGCAATCTCGACCTCCTGAGTTCAAGCAATGCTCCTGTCTCAATCTTCTGAGTAGCTGGGACTATAGGCACACACCATCATGTCTGGCTAATTTTTTTTGTAGAAATGGGGTCTTGCTTTGTTGCTCAGGCTGGTCTCAAACTCCTGTCCTCAAGCAATCCTCCTACTTCAGCCTCCCAAAGTGCTAGGATTACAGGTATTTTACTGTTGATGTCTAAAAGTGCTCACCTCTCTGGAAATTATGCAGAGACAGCGAGAAGGCCGAGAGAGGGGAAGTAACTTGGCCAAGATCACACAGCAAGCCAGAAGTGAAGGCAGGCAGGTCTGATTCTCCCGTCTTCCACTCTCCTTCTGAACCTGTGTGCTGAATTTTTCCCAACATGATTTTCAAGGTGCTGGGAGACAGGAGGAGGCTGCCATACACTGAGGGCCTACTCAGTCAGACATGGTACCGGGAACTTCTCCTGAGCTTCCCACTTAATCCTCAAGACAACCTTGTTATTGGAGTTGTGCTCATTTTTCAGATGAGGAGATTGGTGTCTCCTGCTGCAAAGTATGAGGGAAGAGCCCAGGAGTCTCTTAAAGGAGGTGCCCCCAGCCCCCCAATATCCAAGCTCAGGCTAGAAGCTTGGAAGGAGTCTCGCCCAGAGGAACGATACCTTTCCGTTTGTTGGCTCTATCTCCACCTTGGCTTCTGAAACCCCAGCAGAGTCCAGTTCTTGTGAGCTGGATGCATCTTTCCACCGTTACAAAAGTAGGCCATATTGAGAGTGTCCCGCTGTCCAGGGCCTCAGGCCTGAGTTGCTAGGAGCCAAGGTCCGTGGGAGGAGAGTTGTGAGTTAAGAGGAGGGAAAGTTGAATTTGGCCCATCCAGGCACAAATGGTTCTCTTGTTCTGCCTCAGCAGGAGCCAGCAGAATGTTTCCCCACTGTGCAGGTTCAGGCAGCTTCAAGGTCAAAAGCTGCTAGGTCTTCTAAACTTCTGAGGGCCCATTTGGCCCTGCGTACCAAGGCAGGCTAAGTTAAAAGAAGACAGTTCTAAGGCCAGACACTGCATCTAACCTTCTCATAGCTGCACCTGCTAGCTGCCAGCCTGGCACATAGTAGGTGTGCATTAAGTGCACGTCAAGTTTACTTAAATAGAAATTAGATCCCAGCTGCACCACTTACTGGCTCTGTGACCTCCGATAAGTAACTTCACTTCTCTGATTCTCAGATTTTTTTTTTTTTTTTTTGAGTGGGAGTCTCACTCTGTCGCCCAACCTGGAGTGCAATGGCACGCTCATGGCTACAGCAGCCTCGACCCGCTGGGCCCAGGCAATCTTTCTGCCTCAACCTTCCAAGTAGCTGGAACTATAGGTACATGCTATGATTTATTGTAGAGACGAGGTCTTACCAAGTTGCCCAGGCTCGTCTTGAACCCACAGGCTCAGGCAATCCTCTTGCCTCAGCCTCCCAAAGTGCTGGGATTATAGGTTGAGCCACCGCACCTGGCCTGTTTCTTTATACATAAAATTGGACCAGTAATAGCAGCCTCTACCTCCTAAGAATGTTGGGAGATTCGGTGATGCATAACAAACCCTTAGTAGTAGGGCTAGCACATAATAGACACTCCATAAACATCAGTAAGTCACTTCTTTTGCACCAGGCACCTGGTTAAGTTGTTTACATCGAACATCTTGTTAAATCTCCTGTGGTACTGGGTGCAGTGGCTCACGCCTGTAATTGCAGCACTTTGGGAACTGAAACGGAAGGATTGCTTGAGCCCAGGAGTTCAAGACCAGCCTGGGCAATGACCCCGTCTTACAAAATAAAAATAAAGCTAAAAATAATCAGCCAGGGGGGTGGCTAGTGCCTGTAGTCCCAGGTCCTCGGGAGGCTGAGGCAGAAGAATCACCTGAATCCAGGAGTTTGAGACCTCAACTCAAAAAAAAGTCCCTCATGGATCCTCCAAAGTATGAGTTATTAGAAGTTGAATCATGGAGCATCTTTCCCAAGGTTAACAGCCAGCAAAATTGAGATCTGGGAGTTAGAACCCATTGTCCTAACCACCGAACCGTCCAACCTATGTTTGGCCAGGCAGTCTGCTAAATCTTTTCTCTGCCCAACCTGAGGATGAGGTATCTGGAGAAGCCCTAGAGAAAGCTGCTTCACTTACCAGTCTCATGATCACCTCTCCATGGCTCGATGTTTTCATTTAGGAAATGGAGGGAGTGATGTCCTTCCTGGGGTCATTGAGAGGATCTAGTATAAAGAGGACTTGGTAGTGCCCAGCTCTTTCTAAGCCTTCAGTGGACAGTAGCAATGGTGGTGATGATGATGAAGATGACCGTGTGTTTCGACCCTTTCTTCCTACAGGCTGGCACTATGCGTGTGGTAGTGATTGGAGCAGGGGTCATCGGGCTGTCCACTGCCCTCTGTATCCATGAGCGCTACCATTCGGTCCTGCAGCCCCTGGACATGAAGGTCTATGCAGACCGCTTCACCCCTCTCACCACCACCGATGTGGCTGCTGGCCTCTGGCAGCCCTACCTCTATGACCCCAGCAACCCACAGGAAGTGTAAGTAGGGGTCACATAAAGCAGCCTGGGAGTCCCAGGGAGCTGAGTCTGCAGAAGAGGTGCCCTCCCTGTCAGGGTTCCCATCACCAAGTATAAGCCCCTATGGAAGCTCTGATGTGGCATGACATAAAGTACATAAATATTAAGTCCTACCCTGAGCCAGTTGCTGGGAGGCTTTCTTCATTCTTTCCTAACCCTGGGGCAGGGGGGAGAGGTAGGAGTGTCAATACCACATGCACTGGTGAATCCAGAGAACTTCCAAATGGGTGGATGTATGCTCAGATTTACCAGAGATGTGGAGGTAATTATGTTAGTTTAAAAACCTACAGCTGCTTCAACAAATTGACCCCTCAGTGGAAAACGACTTAAACAGAATTTTAATTCTCATTCCTATAAACAGAGGCCAGGAACAATGTTCCTGGTCAGTGGGTGGCGATTCAGGGGCCCTTCCATCTCAAGACTCTGTCATCCTTGTACACGACTTCCAAGGTGCCTCAATGTCACCACTCTTATGGACCAGTGATGGCAGAAGGAGCATGCCGGACCACGTGTGCAGAGTCTTTAACAGTCTGTTGGCCAGAACCAAGTCACATGGCCATGACTAACTGCAAGAGAATCTAGGAAGGTAGCTGGGCTCCATGCTCAGGGAGAGGAGGGAAAGCTTTCGGAAGCACCAAGCTGATGTCTGTCACTGTGGGGGGGATTCAGGGAGCCCGACTGAACTGTGTGTCTCACAGTCCTCAAAGTCAGGCCAAACCTTCATTAAGGCACATTAGCTATGGGGTCCCAAGCCAGAGGTACACTCCCAGCTGCCATGATGGAACATCCTTTGGTCCCTTGCTTCTCTAGGCTATTTATGGGGAAATATTGGAAAGTTTGTGGGGTGGGGAGAGAAGACCTATAGGCATTTGGGTGTTGCAAGAGCGAACATAGCGGGTTTCTGGGTTTTGGACACACCCACCAGCCTGATTATAGCCCCTCACAAGCTGACCTTCTGAGAGTTTTTTGTCCAGCTCAGGGCATTAGGTGACCAAGGCTGTTTATGACCCTTCCAGGGATTGGAGCCAGCAGACCTTTGACTATCTCTTGAACCATGTCCATTCTCCCAATGCTGCAGAAATGGGCCTGACCCTAATCTCAGGCTACAACCTCTTCCATGAAGCCGTTCCAGTGAGTGACGAGTCCTTGACCATGAAGGATGGGCATCTGGGGGTGTAGAGGGTGGGGAGATCACAGATGAGGGGGGCTTAGAGTCATGTAGGTGACAGACTCCTGGGTTCAAAACAGGCTTACTTTATTTTTTATTTTTTATTTTTGAGTTGGAGTCTCACTCTGTTGCCCAGACTGGAGTGCAGCGGCCGCTC